AAGGAGCTAGTGTCACTTGGTGTCCCTGTAGCAAATGTGCAAACACGCGTCGGCAAACCAAGTTGGTCATGGGTAAACATCTTTGGAAGAATGGATTTACGGCAGACTATACTAGGTGGATCTACCATGGTGAAGCCGATCATGGGAGAGACGAGGTCGTGAGACAACGCATCGAGGAATATGATGGGGATGCCGGGGTAGGAGACATGTTAAATGACTATCATGAAGCACACTTCGATGAAGGACGTAGGGAGGAGGAGCCAAAGGCTACCGCAAAGGCGTATTACGACATGTTGTCTGCGGCACAGCAACCCCTTCACGAGCATTCTAAGGTTTCTCAACTGGATGCCATTGCACGCCTAATGGCCATGAAGTCCCAGTTTAGCTTGAGTCAAGACGTCTTTGATGTTATGCTCATAGTTGTTGGCAGCCTGCTCCCGAATGGTCACATCCTGCCAAAGAGCATGTATGAGGCACAGAAACTCCTTCGTGCACTTAAGATGTCATACGAGCAGATACATGCTTGTCCGAAGGGATGCATCTTATTTAGGAAAGAGTATGCGGAAGAAAAGTACTGTGTGAAGTGCAAATCGTCTAGTTTCCTGGAGGTAGACTCTGGTGATGGTCAGAAGAGGCAACTCGCAATCCCTGTGAAGATCCTATGGTACCTTCCTTTCATACCGAGGATCCAATGGCTTTACATGACTGAGGAATCCACGAAACAGATGACATGGCACAAAAACGAACGTCGATACAATCCTGAGAAGATGGTACACCCATCCGATGGTGAAGCCTCGACAAGGTTTGATGTGATTCATTGTGAAAAAGCTCTAGATGCTCGTAACCTACGTGTTGCTGCAGCACATGTATGCACACGTATGCGATTCAAGCTCCTGGAACGAATACTCCGCAGCAGCTGTAGGCTGCAGCACACGGCCCAAGTGATGGCGAGGCATAAGAGGCCTGCTAACTAAGACGTCGATGAGCCATTATTGGGTTACTTGTCTTTTTTTGGCCTGCTAACTGGATGAGTCTTGCAGTGAGTTTTTATTAGTACTATATATACTTACGTGCAAGTATTTTTTCAAGACACTACTTATACTTTCTGATTGCAGTGAGTTTTTTTATATCTGCAGCTTACACATGCAATCTCTTCTCTTTTGTGCAGAATCAATCGGTGGCATCAAATAATCAGTCTCAAGACCCGGATTTATCGCAGTGGTTCCAAGGGCCTCCGCAGTGATTGCATTTGCATTTGTGCCTTATTGTGACTTAATTGTGACTTGTGATGATGGTTTATTGTGAATTGTGATGATGGTTTATTATGCATGTGACATACAATTATGTCTGTGACATATAATTATGCCTGTGATGTTGCTTTATTGTGAATTGTGATGGTTTATTGTGAATTGAGAGGGGTTCGTTATACGGGATAGATTAGTAAAAAATGGGGTATTGGTCGCTTTGCCAAGTGTAACACTCGGCAAAGCGAGGCGTTACCGAGTGTCAAGCCAAAACACTCGGCGAAGAGACCAATTTATGTTATTCTGGTAACCTTTTTTGCCGAGTGTATTGTCTTTGCCGAGTGTATTCTAACGGACACTAGGCAAAGTGACCATAAAATCTGCCCGTTGCGCGCTTGTTTGCCGAGTGTATTAGGCGTGACACTCGGCAAAGTGTGTAAACTTTGCCGGGTGCTTTGGTCTTGACACTCGACAAACTTTAGAAACGTTACCGAGTGTTTTGGGCTTGATACTCGACAAACTTGAGAAACTTTGTCGAGTGTTTTTCCATCGTGCACTACGCAAAATCACCGTCACTGTGCCATCCTGTTAACATTCTTTTGCCGAGAGTTTCTTTTTGCCGAGTGTTTATTGACACTCGGCAAACTATTTGCCGAGTGCGCGATAAAAAACACTCGGCAAACTACTGTTTACCGACACTGTTGATGTCGTGTGTTGTATGCCGAGTGTTACACTCAGCAAAGCAGTTGCCGAGTGTTTTTGGGCCTTTGCCGAGTGCCCCTGGCACTCGGCAAAACTACTGTATCCCATAGTGTGTGGTTTTGTTGTGCAGCTCCTGTTGATGTCTCAATGAAACCGGATTACGTTTGTTGTCTTTAATTGTTAGTTTAGCTTGACCTTTTGTGGTCTCATCATGATATTGTATTTCAAATTTGTATTTTTGAAGTGCGGGTTCATCTTCTTTTAAATAGAATTGATAGCTCTCCTGCTGCTGCTTTTTTTTTTAAATAAGCAAGAATCCAGCACAAGAATACAATCATGTCAAGGAGGAGACACCATTACATTAATTATCCACTGAGCTTATTATGTCCCTGTTCGCTTTCTTTGAAAAGCCATGGCTAAAACTCTATGTCATTGATTTGGTGTGAGAGGAAAATACTGTTCATTCGCTGAAATAGTACGGCTCATAAGATAAGTGAACAGGTCAATTGTCTACTACAATACTACTCACATGGATCAAGTAGGTCGCCTAAGTATATATGGCAAACTAAAATGCAAATGACACTCCGGAACCCGAGAAATAACAAAATTAGAAAAATATATCACTACCAGTTTGTTACAAGAGCCGGTAGTGATGGTATACATAGCATCGCCGGTTTTATAACGAACCGACAATGATGGTAGACACAAAGACTGTCGGCTTCAATAAAATGCCAATAGTGATCATGTGAGAACGATGCGGTTTGAGTCACAAACCAGCAGGTGTGTTGGTCAAAAGAACAACTGCCGGCTTGTGTCACGAACCAGCAGGTGTTGGTGGGAGAGAACATCGCCGGCTTGTGTCACGAACCGGCAAAGTGTTGGCTTAACAGACACTATCGGCTCGTTTCACGAACCGCGGCGGTGAAGATTGTGATCACTATTTGGTTTATAAGAACGGCACCGATGTGAACCTTCTATCACTGTCGGTTTAGTTGTGCCGGTACAAAATCCGGCAGCGAAGAGGGGTTTGAGACGTGGGGTAGTGACTCTCTAGATATTTCACCGTGAAGTCTAAGAATTTACTTCAGATTATTTTGAACCATGCAAACTTTGCAAAACTTCCAACGTGTCAACGACCAGCGAGATTATTACCCTCTAACCTCACCGGAGACCGGCTCTTTGCCGAGTGCCAGGTGGTTTGCCGAGTGTTGTTTTTCGGGCACTCGGCAAAGCGGCCTTTACCGAGTGTTTTTTTTGACACTCGGCAAAGAGGCTCTTTGCCGAGTGTTTTTTTTTGACACTCGGCAAAGAGGCTCTTTGCCGAGTGTTATTTTTTTGACACTCGGCAAAGAAAATTTCAAAGCATATTTTGAAGCAGTAAATTAATTCAAATGAAAAAGTTTTCAACTACAAAGTTGTATAACTCATCAAGATGTACAATGTTTGTTTTGGTCTTTTCATCATATGACAAAGTGAAAGTAAAATTGTTCACAAATCTAACATATCTCTCTTGTAGTTTACGAAACTACAAGAGAGAGATATAAGATTTGTGAACAATGTTAGAATGACCATGTCGGATAAACAGATGATCAAACAACCAAAATAAACTTTGTAGATCTCGAAAAGTTATGAAACTTTGTAATTGACAACTTTTTGATTTGAAATCATCTTGTCATGCAAAACTGCGATTGAATTTCAAAATTTTAAAATTCAAATTTTGTAAACGACCTCGGATGGGAAAACTTCCTAAACTAAAAGTGTAGATCTCGAAAAGTTATGAAACTTTGTAGTTTACAACTTTTTTATTTGAATTCGTTTAGGGCCTCAAACATGCAATTTACACTTGGCAAAAAAAACTTCTTTGCCGAGTGTTTTTTTTGACACTCGGCAAAGAAGCTTCTTTGCGGAGTGTTATTTTTTGACACTCGGCAAAGAAAATTTCAAAGCATATTTTGAAGTAGTAAATTATTTCAAATGAAAAAGTTTTTAACTACAAAGTTGTATAACTCATCAAGATGTACAATGTTTGTTTTGGTCTTTTCTTCATACGACAAAGTGAAAATAAATTTGTTCACAAATCTAACATATCTCTCTTGTAGTTTATGAAACTACAAGAGAGATATATAAGATTTGTGAACAATGTTAGAACGACCATGTCGGATGAATAGATGACCAAACAACCAAAATAAACTTTGTAGATCTCGAAAAGTTATGAAACTTTGTAATTGACAACTTTTTGATTTGAAAACATCTTGTCATGCAAAACTGCATTTGAATTTCAAAAATTTAAAATTCGAACTTTTCAAACGACCTCGGATGAAAAAATAACCAAAACAAACTCCGTAGATCTCGAAAAGTTATGAAACATTGTAGTTGACAACTTTTTGATTTGAAAACATCTTGTCATGCAAAACTGCGTTTGAATTTCAAAATTTTAAAATTCAAATTTTGTAAACGACCTCGGATGGAAAAACTTCCTAAACTAAAAGTGTAGATCTCGAAAAGTTATGAAACTTTGTAGTTTACAACTTTTTTATTTGAATTCGTTTAGGGCCTCAAACATGCAATTTACACTCGGTTTAGTATAGTATATTGGGAACTAAAACAGAATGCAGACACAAGTGATAGTGTGGTGTAGTGGTAGAGGAGGTAAGTGCACAGCGGGAGGTCTCGGGTTCGAATCGCGTCGGCCGCGTAGCCATGAAATTCAAGCGAAAAATGTCGGAGATGGGTGGGCGCTGGCCGGTTTCGGGCCTCCATCGATAAAAAAAAATTCTATTTTTTTTTGGTAAAAATTCCCATTTTTTCGAGTTTTTTTCGGTTTCAACTTTGCCGAGTGTCGGTACTCGGCAAAGGCTTTGCCGAGTGCCCGACAAAAGACACTCGGCAAAGACGCCTTTGCCGACAGTTTATTTGCCGATTATTCTTTGCCGAGTGCAGCACTCGGCAAAGCCTTTGCCGAGTGCAAATTGGGCTTTGCCGAGTGCCCCTGGCACTCGGCAAAGCCACTGATTACCGTAGTGATATGTGGACGGCTGTGCCTCGAGGCCGAACCCAAACGGGAACAGTTGATCATAGTGCGCATCGCCGACGTTCATGGGCAGCTGATCCACGGACCGGAACCACGTCCTCGACAGCTTCCCGGTGAACCCGTAGTCGCCAAACAGCACGTCGCTGATGCCCTGCCCCTCCGTCCCCGGCAGCCACGCCGCCACCAGCGCGTCCATGCCGTCAATGAATGGCTCCACCACCAGCGGCCGCCCGGAGACGAGCACCACGACGCACCTGATGCTGTCGCACACGTTCCGGATCACGTCTGGCCCTGGCGCAGGGATGGTCAGGTTCAGGATGTCACCGTGCGTCTCGGCATAGGGAGGCTCGCTGACGACGACGATGGCGTAGTCAAACCGTGCCTTGTTCTGCTGGACGAAGCCCGCGCCTGGATTCTCGGAGTAGACGACGTCGGTGCTGGGGGCGACGGCGCGCTTGATGCCGTCGAGGATGGTGGTCCCGGTGGTGAGGTTGTTCCCCGTTTGGCCCTGCTAGGTGATGGTCCATCCGCCGCACTGGCTGCCGAGGTCGTCAGCGTGGCTGCCAGCGACGAGGACGCTGCCGCCATAGGAGGGCTTCTTGGGAAGCGGCAGTAGTGGCTTGGCGCTGGGCTTGCCGTTCTTGAGGAGGACGAGGGACTTGCGCACGGCCTCGCGTGCCAGGTCGCCGTGCCTCTGCTTGCAGAGCTCACCAACGAGGCTGGTGTCGGCGTAGGAGTTCTCGAAGAGACCCATAGTGAACTTGACGCGCAGGATGCGGCGGACGGCGTCGTCGATGCGGCTCATGGGGATGGTGCCGTTCTGCACCAGCAACGTGAGGTCGTCAATGAACTCTGTGTACCTGTATGGAATCATGACCTGGAACAGTGGGAACATTCGTCAAGTGATGCATGATGGTTAAACACCCAGGTTATACTGCATACAAATTCCGGTAGTAGGTTCTCCTTACCATGTCGATGCCAGCAAGAATGCCCAGCTTGATGGACAGAATGTAGTTGGCATGTTCTGGGTTTGTGATCCTATCAAGCCCTAGCCAATCCGAGATCACAAAACGCTGAAATATACATGTGAGGAAAAAAATGGCTTATTGCAACCTTAGAGATCGCGGGCTAAGATATTAGCAGCGGCAGCCTCCTTCAGAAAGCAATAAAAAACTATAGCAACACACATAGCGAAACCTAATGGGGAGGCATAGATTATAGTATTTTAGACTAAAGAACACTATACCAGATTTGCACATCACTGCCGGCCTCATCACTGCCGGATTTGTGAGAACTGGCAGTGATGTACCTTGACTGCCGGTTATGAGCTTCAAATAAAAAAATTATTGGTGCTAGGCTAAAATCGGCAGTGAAGGACCACATCACTGTCGGTTTATGGCTTGAACCGGCAGTGTTTTGGCGGGCACTCATCACTGCCAGTTTAAGCCAAGAGCCGACAGTGATTGGGCACTATCACGGTCGGTTCTTGCCAAGAACCGACGGTGATAAGCCTACAACACAAAAAGGCTGCAGCCGTCCTCTCCTTCCTCCTCTCTTCCATCCCAAGAACAGAGGCGTGCGTTTGGACCCTTCCTTCCATTGTTGCGGCTGCTCTTCACCATGAAGCTAGTGCTTGAATTTTGAAAAATTGCTTGATTTTTTTGCTTTAAGGTTAGTAAGAAACATCCACTCATTTGATTTTGTTGCTTAATTAGCTTCGCTTTAATTGCTACATTGGCCCCGTTCGCTGGTCTGAAACTTGGCTGAAACTGGCTGGTTTTGTGAGAGAGAAGCACTGTAGCGGCTGGTTGATGAACAATGTTTTATGAGGGGATCAGCCGGCTGGTCTGAAACAACTAGACCAGCGAACGCGCCCATTGCTTGATTCTCATTCTAGTTCTTTCTCCATTCTAGAGAGCATTTTTCCAATTGGACATTTGTGCAAGGCTCAAATTGTGGTGAATCCATCGTCCAAAAGGTTGCTGTCTATGAACACATTTAAATTTCTAGCTAATTATTCCATGGTGGTCAAGATCATCATTGTTAGTATGTGATGCTATAATTAGTTGTTTTTCCAAAAATGGTACTTTCGAGCTACAATTGTTGTTCATGAAGCTCGATTTCTTATTAATTCTTTGTAATTACTGTCTCAGTATTTTTTGTACAGAGATGGATCGAGAGTGGATGCATCTGTCTCGAACGGACAAGCGATACATGCATGGCGTCAGCCAGTTTATCACCGATGCCAAAGCCCATGCTGGGAATGGGAACCCTGTCTTCTGCCCATGCAAAGATTGCAAGAATCATAGGAACTTTCGTCAAATTGAGTCTATACGATCGCACTTGATTACCAGGGGGTTCATACCAAACTATACGATATGGACTATGCATGGCGAGGTTAGTGTGAATGTTCTACAGGAAAACGATGATGACGTGGACATGCCTGACGTAGCCATCCTCGATGCTGACAAGGAACCCGGTGTCAACACGGAACCTATGGCCACAGTTAATAATGTGTTTAGGAACACGCTAGCTGACGACACCGAGGATAACGATGGCATTTCTCAGCTGCTACGTAATGTAGAGACCGGATGTCTTAGTGAAAGACAACTGAGAAAGCTAGAGAAAATGAGACAAGATGGCAAAACACCATTGTATAGGAATTGTCCAATGAGCAAACTGGAAGTCGATCATGCTGTTAGAGTTTAAATCGACAAACGGATTGAGCAATAAAGGCTTCGATCAGTTGTTAGGTATAATAAGGAAAATGCTCCTAGAAAAAAAACGAGTTGCCAGAAAAGACATACTTGACCAAGCAAATGATCTGCCCCATCGGCCTCGAGGTTGAAAAAATCCACGCGTGTTCTAATGATTGCATATTGTACCATGGAGAAAAATACAAAGACTTGGACAAGTGCCCCAAGTGTGAAGCTCCATGGTACAAGGAAGGGCCATCAGATGAGGGTACCAAGACCAGAGGAGGTCCTATAAAGGTCGTTTGGTACTTCACTATAGCTCCCCGGGTGCATAGGCTATTTGCATGTGCAAAGTCAGCCAAGCTGTTGCGCTGGCATGACGAAGAGCGTAAGAAAGAAACAATGATGAGGCACCCCGCCGATGGGCATGACTGGAGGACTGTCAATACTATGTTCTATAAGGACATCGGTAGAGAGGTAAGGCACAGCACAGATAGGATGAATCCTTTCGACCAGGTTAGAAGCAATCATAGCACCTGGCCAGTGACGCTCTGTATATACAACCTTCCACCTTGGGTCTGTATGAAGCGGTCGTACATCCAGATGCCACTACTGATCCAAGACAGCCTGGGAATGACATCGATGTGTTTCTAGAACCAGTAATCGATGAACTAGTGGAGATGTTTGAAAAGGGTGTGCCGGATGTTTGGGACGAGTACAAAAAGGAACATGTCACGATCAAGGGAGTACTTATCGCTACAATCACCGACCTGCCAGATCGAGGTTCGTTGTCCGGAGAGAAGAAAAAAGGCTATACTGGATGTGTCGAGTGCTTGAACGACACCGATGCGATAAATCTGCCAAATAACTCAAAGTTAGTTTATATGGGACACTCCCCTCCTCATCTGGAGCCATCACCCCCGAGAAGACAGAGGTCTCCTTCTATTCCTCCTCGTCCGACTCTATCTTCATCAGCCCCGTCCGACTCTATCTTCATCAGCCCCGAGAAAAAGAGACTCCTCCTCCTCCTACTCCATCTTCATCAGCACCGGGAAAACAGAATTCTCGTCGTCATCTTCCTCCTCCACCTCAGCCCAAAACAAGATCAAGGACATCCTCGCAGTCGCAGAAAAGGTCCTTGGATTCGATCGCTAATGCTCCCAAAGTGGACCAACAGAAAAGAAAAAGGCCGTTCAGTGGAAGCGTTACCACCTTGATGAAAGAAAAATTTACAGCACACATCTCGAAGGAATATTGTGTTAGTTTCTTCAATCTATGTGCCTCACTGCCTCTATTTTTGTTGAAGTCCGAATTCGAAAGGCAAACACAGAATAAATACGGTACAACAAGAGACGAAGAAATACACAATAAAGATTTAAGGAACATTATGAAGTTAGTCGAAGACAACCCTGATTTAACCATAGAAGAGGCCGCGAACATCTGTTATGATGTACAAGGGACGGGAACACCAGCAATGAAGTATGAAAGGGGCAATCTTTTGGTTCCCAATCATGAGTATAAAAATCTGACAACATATATGCGCCAGTTACATGAATATTACATGGCTCAAGCAACAGAGACGGACGACTTTGGTTTTGAGGTTATTATTCGTTCGCCACATGTTTTCCAATATCCTGAAGAAGAGAAGTCCGATGTCGAGTGGGAGTGCTTGTTCCAGCTATACTAGAAACGCTCTCTCGATGTACAAATGTTGACGCTGTGGACTATGTAAGTACCCTACATGCACGATATTACAATTAACTACTCTCTCGAGACACAAATTGTTAACTTTTGAGCACTTCCCATGATTTTATGTAGGTGTATAGCAAAATTTTGCATTCTAAAAAGCAAATGGGATTACATAGGCTTCTTGGACCCCATGTGAGTCAATGAAAGGACATGTCTAGGCCTCTATGGATGTGACATGGAAGATCTGAAACAGAGATTGATTGTTGTTTTCGACAAATTCACGATGAAGAAGAAAACCCACATACTTCTAGCCTACAACTGCGAGCATGTGTTCTCGGCTTTTAATTTTATGTTTCTTTTTTTGTTAAGATTATTGGATAATTAGGATTCTGTGATTGCAGTAACCATTTCGTCTTCATTTGTGTTAATCTTGGCAAAAAACTGCTCGAAGTGTGGGACTCGAAGAAAAAAACCATTTCATCATCTGGATGCTGGTGGCAGTGCTGAATTAGTAAGCGATCCTAATAACTATTATTTTCTAATCACACATACCGCTTTCTGATGTTTCTCCTTTTAATGTTGCTCAGTGTCCGAAGAAGACATATCGGTGGGACGCTGGTCCCATTCAAGGTTGTCGAAATAGAGGGGAAGTACCTATCACAGCCAGCGGGAAATAATGAATGCGGGTTTTATGTAATGTGGGCAATGCTTCTTTACATCGGCGGGAAATCGGAAGAAGCCGATAATTTGGTGTGTATAATCCCCATTTCATTTATGTCTGTTAATAATTCAACAAAATGATTTACTGTTCCTCTTTGGATATCATTTTTTTGAACAACAACGCAAGAAATATAAGCACGAAAGGCTGCTAGACATGGAGATCGTCGCACTACAATCGGAGCTGGCAAAATTCATCTTAGCCGAGGTATTGGAAAAAGATGGAGTATTTTCCATTGCACAATCCGTGAAGTACAAGGACCAGTATGGCCCAGAGTGGTTCGCCAGATTATTGTAAGAAGTCCGAGAAGCATGTGTGAAGTCCGAGAATATTTCTTTTTTATTTTGAGGGATCGAGATGTGGATAAGAACATTTGAATTGTAATCGTAACATTTGTAATGTTTAATATTGATGGACCTGTCGTCTACGTAGCGTATATAAAGCGAAACCCGATTCCACGAAAAATATAAATTAAAATAAATTATAAAACAATAAAATAGGAACGGGCCATCACCGCCGGTTAGCAACAAACCGACAGTGTTATCGTAACCATCACTGCCGGTTAGAAACAAACCAACAGTGTTGGCTTGCTCAACACTGTCGGCTTGAACCATGAACCGACACAGATAGTTACGACAACACTGCCGGTTTGATCCATGAACCGACACTAATATTTACTACAACAGTGCCGGTTTGATCCATGAACCGACAGTGTAGACTTGCTCAACACTGCTGGCTTGAGCCAAGAACCGACACTCTTGAAGCAACCGTCACTATCGGTTGGCACTACAAACCGGCAGTGTTGTTCAACTGGACACTGTCGGGTGGAGCCAGGAACCGACACTATTTCCTGTAGATCAGTGTCGGTTTTTAAGGACCGGCAGTGATGTCAACCCCCCATCACTGCCGGTATGCCACTGTCGATTCAAAATCCGGTAGTGAAGTGGGTTTTTGAACTGGCAGTGATGTCCAGATCTGGGGTAGTGGAATAAATATATGCTTCGGTCGGGATTAGTGGTGCTAAAACTATTCATGGCTATTGAATCACGATGTTTAGCCAAAGTAAAGCATCATTAGTGGCAATAGAGAAACAATTGTAATATCTAGTGGAGTTCTTCTATTTAAGTATAGTATAAATAATACTATAATGAAATCATTTCGTCGGAAAAAAAAGAGTTGCACATTTGTACCCTGAAACGGAGCTTGGTCTTGAGGAAGTCGGTGACGAGGAAGCGGTTGGCGTGCATCTTGACGCCATTCCAGCTTGAGTAGGAAACCATGATGGTGGAGACACCCCGAATGACGGCGGTGTAGTAGGGCGGCATGTGGACGCCAAGCAGCTCGTGGAAGGTGGCCACTGTGTTGTTCTCGTTGATTCCCCTGGTGGTGCCGCCATCAACGACGTAGTGCTTTGCGCACGCCGCCACATTGTGCTGCCCGGCAACGTAGGGCGCGCCGAGGCGGCCACTCGCCGGGATCTCACCCTGGAAGCCGGAGATGATGGAGGTCATGTTCTGCACTAGCTCCGGGTGTTCGCTGAAACTCTCGTAGCACCGGCCCCACCGAGGGTCTCTGCACACCTACACAAAAATCAAAGTTAAACGATCAAGAGTTATACACATTTACTCTATATTATTTTAGCAATTTAGCGTGATGAGATGTTAATTGCACTACATATGCATACCGCCAGGCATGGAGCGAAGATGAAGGGGATTCCGGTGGCTCTGACCTCCAATGCAACTGCTGCTCCGATCTTCCTTGCGAGCTCTGTGTCTCTGAACCAGTAAACACGTTTGATGTGGACAAAATAGTCAGTAAACACCAGCATTATTTTGTTTACTTTTTTTGTGACCCATTAAATTCTTTGATGATGAAAACCATGTGCTCCTATTTGAACTGGGCATTGTGTCGAGGAGAAGTAATCCAAGAGCATTAAGCATCTGACATTCTTATTTATCTCTTCAAGCTGTCTCGCACTACCTCGACACACATTACAATACATATATATGTATGATCTATCTATCTACCTACTCCAAGCTGACATCGATCGCAATGTCTTGGCACTTAATTACTGCATCACCTTTTTAAACAATCATTATATAAACTGTTCGACCCTAAATCTAGGATACACACACCTTAGTAAAACCTCTTCGACACGGGAATCTTTACAAGGTATCGCAACTACTCTCTATCTATACTGTAAGTAGTAGGACTAGTACTCTATATATGAAATATTTTAGTTCTTGATGGATCGACGATCGAGCCAAGCAAAGGGACAATAGCCTCGATCAGTCGGTAGATGCCAAGCTAACGGCTTGTGGACCCTTAATTCAGATCTTGGATCTCAATATACATTTCCGATTTCTATATAATAGGAGTAATAACATTTTGGAACAGGGTATATACAAAGACTTATTAGAGCATCTATAGCTAGTGGGCTCCTATTCATGCCCATATCGTACTTTTCTAATTAAGTTGGTGGACAAAAACCCACTCTAACAGAGCATCTAGCAACTCATGCCATCAAAAAAATAGGATCGGAGGCTTTCAAATTCCCCGCTCAAGTCCTTATTCCTATGGCCCCTCCCCTACACCCCTACTTTTCTATTTCACAACATTTATCTTCTACTTTTGTTCGGATCCCGTGCTCACGCCAGACCACCGCCACCACACAGATTTTGTGCATCCCTCCTCCGTCCCCACAAGCCAGAACGACCCCGTGCTCCCTACATCCATCACCACCGCACTCTCTTCTACGGGCTTCCACTACCTGCACACCATCTGACAGCTTCCATTATCCATGTGACCTCCTGATGGCCTCTACTACCACAGGCCCCCCTTGGGCTATCTCCACCACCCGAGCGCCCTCCCGGTGGCCTCCACCGCCAAGCGCCCCTCCCCTAGCACTCTCCACGTATGCCCTAGATCCACCATTCACACGCCCTCTTTACCTGGCTCGACCACCTGGGTGCCCTCCCCCAGCAGTTTCCATCGTAGTGTGCTCTTCTCGGCAGTCTCCACCGTGCATTGCGTGCTCAACCCGGTGGCCTCCACCACCCACTCCCTCCACCGGATCTTGTGGAGCACCTTTGGTCCATTCACTCCACCTAGTTTGATTAATGAGACTATGTTTGTCTTGTATGGCACTTTATTTGCTTTTTAAATTTTTGAATTTAAATTTGAATTGATGTTTTTTGATTTTGTCGATTTGAATATTGGCCATTTCATTTGTATAAACTCAAAGCTTTTTTTGTTTGAACTTATGTCGGGTCAAATAACATAATACATAGAGAATGTAAGACGAAGGGAAAAATAGAAAATAGAGTCCAGAAAATAGGCCCTTAATTGAAAGCAGCGGAAGCTCCTACATAAAAATAAGGACCCTGATTCAGAGGCTTCCGGTGAAGAAACTCTTAAGCCGTGTTTAGGTAGACCCCAAAGTCCAAAAAGTTGCTACAGTACCTGTCACATCGAATGTTTGCGGCCCGTGCATGGAGTATTAAATGTAGACGAAAATAAAAACTAATTGCACAGTTTGGCGGGAAATTGCGAGACGAACGTTTTGAGCCTAATTAGTCCATGTTTGAACACTATTTGCCAAATAAAAACGAACGTGCTACAATAGGCCCAAAATCCAAATTCACTCAACTAAACAAGGGCTTAGTTTGTGCCTTTGTGGTTTGCTTATCTTCTCTCTCATTCATCTCAACCAAAGCCTGATGTGACAATTGATGCGGCACGCTTATATACCACCTTATTAAACTTGCTGTAAGTCTAGGATATACCAACCTATATAGCGTAAAAAAACTCCTTGGACACAGCCACACGGGAATCTTTACGAGGTAGCAGGGCAACTACTCTCTATTTACACTACCAGTACTTAGCTAGGACAAGTAGTCAACATATACAGAAGAGTTAAATACACTGGCGGCCCTTTAACTTGTCGGCCTGTACCACTTTGGTCCACGAACTTGCAAACTCAAAAATTCGGCCCCTGAACTTGTTACTTGTTTACCGAAGGCCCATTTCCCGTCCAGTGCGGCCTCTAGTCAACATGGCAGCGCCAGCGTGTCGGTCGCTTGGTTCTGGCGGGATTTTTGCCGCTCTTGGACGTTGGCAATCTTGCAGAGGACACCTCAAGGTCTACTGAAAAGGGCAACTAACCCATTATTTGCAACTACCCTCTCTCTCTCCATACTGTCTTCCTCCTGTCGCTCCAGTCACTCGGATCAAATCGGCCCCATGGCTGGTGAATCAAGGACGTCGACGGTAGATCCAGCCGACATACCACTGATCCAGTACAGGGAGTGCGGGCGGGCAAGGGTGGTGCGCCGGGTATCGAAGCAGGAATAGAGCTATGGGCAGGTGTTCTACTGCTGCTCGTTCTACAAGGTTAGTGGTTCAGTTAAGATCAAGTTTTACATGTTCTTGTTAGATCCGAAACTGATATTAGCGATCTTTGTAGCGAGATGGAACCGGATGTCCTTTCTGGAAGTGGGAGAAGGAGTACTTGGAGGTGGTGTTCGGCAAGAAAATTGTTGGTGCTGTATCAGGTCCGAGCAATGTAGGCACAACCATAGTGGAAACACCTGATTTGAAGATGAATACTGATGGAGGACCACGCAGCATGGGTTGGGTAAAGAGGGAAGATGAATCCGTTGAAATGGTGAAAGAAGTGGTCATGGTGCTCAAGACAATATTTGTAGTCTGTGTTGCTCTACTATTCATGCTCATTCTTATTCTATTAGTCCTGTTGGTTAAGTAGGTTAATATGTAATCACTAGTGTTGGATTTGTGTTGCTGAATGCCATGACAAGGAACCATGTTGTTTTTGTGTATTCAGTATTGTTGGATGATATATTCAGCAATATTATGTTATCAATGCATCTGTCAGTAATTTCAGTAATGCATGTACAGCAAAATGATGTTCACAGATCAAACAATGTGAATTCCTCGAGATGGAAAATAGGCCATAGAATTAAAGCATGATTTATTGTCATAGATTTTGTGTCCATCAACCATTTTCTAAGGACCTGCAAGTCCTGGATGTAAGCCACTAACTTACTACTATCTTCCTGTGCTTATATGGAAGAACCAAAAGATGTATCTATCTTCCATGTCTGACTGGAAGAACCAAAAGAAAGCAAAATAATCCTAAGCATCAACTAAGATGTTTTTGTTGCTGGTTTACAGGTTCACATAAACTGGCCAGTGATGATATTGACCTATACAAAAGCATCATACCACATTACAGACCACATTCATAGGTCTTCAAGCCTTCTTGTCTTGGTAGCTGTGGTCTTCTTGGTCTTGCCTTACTGATTAGATGGCCTAGTAGGTGCATTGCGCTTCAACCTTGCTCTTCCTGCCTTAGTTGCAGTAGTAGGGGGCACTGGCCTTGCAGTTGGCTGGTTGGTGCTGATGAATGTGCAATCTGGCAATGGTTCCTTCTGAAGTTGCCTTTTGCTTGTTTGTGAACACTGTATGACAGCAAGTTAGGTGGTGTTCATTTCAATTTGAGAAAGTGGACCAAGTTTGTGAGTACTTACATCTGCATACAGTTGAGAAAACAAAGTTCCTATCATTTGTGATAGTAGTGGTTGGCTCCCCTCTCCAAACTGCATGGAAGCCTGCTAAATTTGTGGGACATGAAAGTAGTGTATGAATTACAAATTGAACTGACATGATAATTAGTTTGACATACCTGACTGGTAACTGGTTCTTCATAACCATCAGTTGATCCTCCTCCATGGCCGTACTCCCATTTGGGTTGCTTTCAGGATGTTGTTCAAGCCTGATCCTAGCTTTCCTCAGCTTACATCCACCCCTGTTATGCTCTTCTATTCCACAATAAGAGCAAGTAATCACAGTACCATGCTTGGACATTTTGGGACCAAACTTGCCCATGACTTCATGAGGTTGCTTCCTTCTGTTCTTGGGTAGAATATCACACTTGGAGAATGTGCTAAAGAAAGCCCTAACCCAAGTATTTGGTGGCATCTTTTCTAGGCATTCAAAAGCTTTCTGGTTAAGGACCTTCATCTTCTCCATGTTCTCATTCCACCTAACTACTGTGGTTGACCTAGCACAAGTCCAGAGTTGGTTCTTTAAGTTCTCACCTTTGAATTGCATCTGGAAATTGGAATATAGGTGTCTGACACAGAACCTGTGTTTAGATTCTGGGAAAACATGTGCAACAGCTGGTACTAGACCCTCCAAATGGACATGAACAGATTAGCATGAATACTACAGCTGCAAGTTAAGAAGATGTGCAAAAGCTGGTACCTTCTGTTTGTCAGTCATGACAGTCCATGGGTATGTGTTTTCAATGCCTAGGTCTTGCTTCAATGTTTCCAAGAACCACTTCCAAGTAGCCAGAGACTCAACTTCTACAACTCCAAATGCAATTGGATAAATGCAGTCATTTGGATCAATTCCAATTACGGTGAGCATTATCCCTCCATGCTTAGTCTTAAGGTGGCAACCATTTAGGCAGATTATAGGTCTACAACCAGCTAGGAAGCCCCTCTTGCAGGCATCCAAAAAACATACAAGGATGAGAATAGGTTTCTAGCAAGATTAAGATAGAAAGTGCTCCCTGGATTGCTTCTTCTCAATTCATGTGCATAATCCCACAACTTATTGCACTGCTCTTCTTCATCACCAAGTATCACCTTCATAGCAAGTCTCCTGGCCCTAGCAAGTGTAATTCTTGGGGTGTCAGATTCCATTCCTTCTGGACTGTCCTTGCAAAGTTAGTGTCATCTTCTGGTCAGCCCGAAAGGACTCTAAGTATGTATGAGCAAGCCACTTTGAGGTACATCTCTTCAATGTCCACTTTCTTTAGCAAGTGTGCTGCCCATGATAAGTCTTGATCATCAATCCCTGAGTCTTGCTATCACTTGAAGCATATAAATTCCAAAGACACCCATCTGCATAATGAGCCTTCAATCTTTTCTTCTCATTCCTGGGGATCTTGATCTCTACCCTCTGCTTCATGCTATATTGTGTGATAGCCTTCCTGAGCATCTCAACTGATTCAAATATCATGCCAACTTTGAAGATGGGATTGTCTATGTCTTCACTTCTGAATGACTTAAACCTTAGACCTTGTCCTTCTTCATCAGATTCTAGCAATTCTAGCTCAGATTCATCTGTTGACTCCTCTCCATAAACAGCCAAAGATGAAACCTTTTCCCCCTTCAGTTTGCTACCAACAGTCTTCTTGCCCTTACCTTTCTGCTGCCCTTTGCTGCCAGTCTCCTCTGTGACATCCTCATCAACATAGTCCACAAAAATATCATCATCATCTCCCTCTAAATCATAATCACTATCACTGAAATCAGAGTCATCTTCACTGTCACGATCATCTCCATGCACATCATGCTGCACTGAATCCTGCTCCATTTCAAATGGTGGCAGTTCTTCTCCTTCATCCTTCCCAACAAATCCTCCCTTGGCTGGGCTGATTACTTCGGGCATTGAAGCAATTGGGTTTGCCACTATGTCATCCCAGTTTATGCTAGGCATACTGTTATCATGATCAAAATAGACAATAAGGTTCTTCACCCTGTCAACAATGCCAGTCATCACCAATGTCTCTGAATCTGACTCAATCACCCTAAGTCCACGAGCAAGATCCATTCCAGGAAGCAACCAGTATATATTTAGAGCATCTATTTTAGGACATTTCAACTCATCAACAAAATCCAAGAACCACAATGGAGACTAGGTATCTACCTCGCAATGGTCAAACCAGTTCACTTTTCCATCAATGTAAGCCTTATTCGAATCCTGACCAACAAAGAAACCACAGTAGTGCACCTCAACAGTGAACTTGTTCTCAGCATCGCCTACAATGAACCAAATGATGCTCATTACTACTTGATTTATTTAGGCTACACTAGGAACTCTAAACCCTAGCCACCAAAACAAATGAAATTGGCCTACACCAGGAACAAGTACATGCACACCACCACATCCTAAAGGCACTAATAAGAAGGTTTTGAGCTTCGATTGACTAACCTTAGTCCGACGGTGGTTCCCCTTCCGGTCGCAGGCAAGGCGCCATGTCATAGATTCACCGCGATAGCGGCGAAAACTCGCGCTCCCAGTGCGTCTCGTCGTTGCTCTTGTGAGAATCTTGCAAAGTCGCTGACTTTTTGCCGTCATAAACCGCCTCGCCCTCGCCGCCACCTCACCCCAAAGACGATGAACTTGAAGAGGAGAAGGCAGGATTTTGGAGATTTGACGAGGCGGAGGGGCCTAGATGCATATTGTCACCTGCGTTCGGTATTGAAACGTGCTGCTCACGTGCTCGTCCGCCATGCTGGCACTGCCACATCGCCTGGAGGCCGCGCGGAAGGGAAATGGGCCTGCGGTGAACAACTTCATAAGTTCGGGGCCCATTTTCCATGTTTGCAAGTTCGTGGACCAAATCGCACAGCCGAGCAAGTTAAAGGGCCGCCGGTGTATTTCACTCTATATAGAAATATTAATGTTTATGATCGATGCAGGATCGAGCCAATGCAAGCAAAAAGATAATAACCTCTGTCGATAGATGCCAGGCATGGGCATGTGGGCTCTTAATTCAGATCTTGGATGTATACAAAGACTTAGTTTGGATGGGGTCAACAATGTCGATGAGTTAGTAATTACCTGGTGCATCCGAGGCCGACGTTGTGCGGGAAGACGGTGGCCTTGTAGACGTAGCCGTGGCCATGGACGGCGTCGATGCCGAACATCACCGGGATCCCGAGGCGAGTCGACAACACCGCCGCACGCTGTATCTCCTCGACCATCTCCACCAACGCCTCTGGCGGAGCACCGGCTGCCGGCACGCTGCCGCCGCCTCTGAGCACACTCCCTATGAAGTACTTGCTGATGACGCCAGCGGTGGCATTCTCCGGGTCGATCTGCGACATCTGCCCGATCTTCTCGGCCAGCGTCATCCGCCACAGCAGGTCGTCGACCCGGGCGTTCAGCGGCTGCTTCGGGTCTCTGTACTTGGCGCGGACCTGTTGTTGCTCCCCTCCGGCGACGTCCGTGGCTGCCGCCGCTGCCAGAGTAAGAGCAATGCAGCAACACAGCTGGAGAAGGAGCAAGGCATCAGCGTCGACCACCGTCCTGCAACTACCACCTCCTCCATGGATCCCCATGGCTCTAGTGGTGTGGACTGGTGGACTACTATATGGATTTCCTGGGTTGCTTCCTCTTGTCTTGGTTTGTATTTGTGGGCATGCTGAGTGACCAAAGTATATATCCAAACAAAAACACTTTGGTGAGCTAGAGCTTGACTGGCGACCACGTTGTTCAGTACTAGAAACAAAAACAGGAAGAGGGCGCATCGTCTGTCAGGTAGTTTTAGGCAGGTGATATATTCTATGCAAAGTTGCAAACTTGGTGCGAGAGTTAAACCACGCAGATTCAGCAACCAACTCAGGATACAAAATTCTAAGCATAGCTAGACCATGAGTGATATACCAACCTTTCTAATTTTTTATTCTCTCTTGTGTAGGGAAGGAGATTAGGAGGAGGAGGTGGAGTGAGGGGGCAGGGACCAGGATCTAGGGGGTTGGGGTGTTTATATATACTCCGTACATTGCATTCAACGGTGCTCATTTCAACATCTTTATCACTCTGAACATTATTACAATCAAAAACTACCACATGGAGGTGGGGATCTAGGGTTCAGATCACATCAGAGGTTTCATTGAGCACATGCAATGCTTACCATGTTGGAATCGAGGATCGACAGACGATCACACGAACATGAACAATAGACATAGACTTGCCGACGACGAACGCCTGTATCTTGGCTTCTATTATTCAAACACACGACTCGGCTCAGGTTGAGCTGACACATCACATTGGCTAATATAGCCCACGGCCTTGGCTCATGCAACAACCACGAACTCTGCCTGCAAGACGGATGCGCACGATCCACATGAACTGCTCAGCCCTCTCCTGTGCTCGCTCCTCCACTGCATGCCTTCAACGCTAGCTGCTAGCTCCTAAAGACTCGAACACCACCTTGAGTCCTTGACTCAGCTAATAAACTAAAAATAGAATACATGCACACACACGCTAACTAACCAACTGAATTGAACACACTCAAAGTCAAGATTATCCTAACAAAGTCCCCCTAATCTTGACTTGTTGTTGCCGGAGTTGCTGCAGCAGCCGTCGTCATCATCGCCACAGCCGCCGCTATGGCCTCCCAACCAGACGCGGCCCCATCTCCGCGTGAATGCCGTAGCTTTCTTCTCAGCGACACACACCATTTCTCTGACCGGTGACACACACCGATACTCCGACCGGCGACACACGCCGATACTTCGGCTCTGCCTCACCAAGGCAATTGCGTGCCCCGCACCTCCACAGACCGACGCATGGCCCGGGACCTTCATTGCATTGTAGCTACTGGCGAACGCCGCCACCACCAGCACGCCTTAGTTGTACCAAGGCAGGGGCCGACGAACGGACCATTGCCATGGTGCCTCATGCCGCCACAGGCACGCACTCACGGACCGACACACGGCCCGGTGCCTCAGCACGCCGCCACAGTTGATCGGCACATCGTGCTAGCCGCCACCAGCGTGAACAAATCCCACGATGAGGCTATGGGATCTCTGCCATGCCGCTGATGACGTGCTTCACCATGATCGTACGTGGTGCGCCATCGCTGGTGCTGTTGGAGCTCGAGTCTCTGACCTTCAAGGTCAACATCTTCAACTTGCTCTCCACTCCCTAACCTGGCTCTGATACCAATTGTTGGAACCGAGGATTGATGGATGATCACGTGAACATGAACAATAGACATAGACTTGCCGACGATGAACGCCTGTATCTTGGCTTCTATTATTCAAACACACGACTCAGCTCAGGTTGAGCTGACACATCATATTGGCTAATATAGCCCATGGCCTTGGGTCATATCCGCAAACTGCTCAGCCCTCTCCTGTGCTCGCTCCTCCACTGTATGCCTTCAATGCTAGCTGCTAGCTCCTAAAGACTCGGCCACCACCTTGAGTCCTTGACTCAGCTAACAAACTAAAAATAGAATGCATGCACACACACGCTAACTAACCAACTGACTTGAACACACTCAAAGTCATGATTATCCTAACATAGCAAAGGGAGGAGATGGAGGTGGGGACGAGGTGATCACCTGGTGCTGTAGTGGAGGATAGTGGCAGTGAGAGTGCAGGGTCTCGGAGGTGCTCGGAGATGGCGGTGGTGGTGCTTGGGGGACAACGATTAGGGCGCAGGGGTTGGTGGCAATGAGGGCAACATTCCCCGGGGGCGGCGATGGTCCTTGAGGCACTAATACAGAGACGGGCTTTACTCCCGGTGGGGAACCACCTCTAGTCCCGGTTCCCCACCCGGGAGTAAGCATCTGGGACTAAAGGGAGGTCCTTTAGTCCCGGGTCAGGAACCGGGACTAAAGGGGGACCTTTAGTCCCGGTGGGTAACACCAACCGGGACTAAAGGTCCTCCCAGTTTTAAAAAAAATAATACCTCCCACCGCTGCGTCCTGTGAGATTCGAACCCAAGACCTCATGCATTGCCTCGCGCGTAGCTTACCACCCCACCTACACAACACATCTGACAATGGATGGGATGCTTCCCTTTTGAACTAACCCATCGGGGGACCTTTAGTCCCGGTTGGTGGCACCAACCGGGACTAAAGGGTCCTTTAGTCCGGGTTGGTGTTACCAACCGGGACTAAAGGGTCTATCTTTAGTCCCGGTTGGTAACACCAACCGGGACTAAAGGTTGAGGACTTTTAGTCCCGGTTGGTGGCTCCAACCGGGAGTAAAGGTCCACCTTTAGTCCCGGGCGCAAAAAATACCGGGACTAAAGCCCATTTTAGCCTCGGATGAAAGGTCTGTTTTCTACTAGTGAGGGTGGAGGTGTTGCTCTTCCTCAGAGGCACTTGGTGACTAACGTGGTGGCTACTTAGGGTCAAGAGTTAGGGCACTGGGGTGGTGGCGATGAGGGAGGCATTCCTCAAGGGCGGAGGTAGTCTTGTAGTGACTGAGCGATGGCAAGGAGATGAAATGGTGGCGCGGGGAAGTGATTTTGGAAGGGACACACTTATTGGTTATATATAGGGAAGAGATTTCACTATCGGGTCAACACAACACCGGGCAATGATGCTATCATGTCACTGTTGGGTTGATACCACGCGACAATGAAACGAGTCTACCATTGCCGGGTTGGTACCACACGGTAGTCAAAGCATCTATCACTATCGGGATGCTACCACCCGACAGTGACGTACATCTATCAATGCTAGGTCGAGCTCACCCAGCAGAGATGACCCTTGGATGCCGTTGATGGTTATGTGTGATCCAATAGTGATTCTCATGATGCCAACTCTTCGTTCTTACCACAACGTTTTAATCTAGTTTTCTTGTGAAAAATGTTATAAATGTTAAATCAATAATTTCTACAAAAAATGTGGTATGCCGTATCCTTGAAAAATACGAATGCATGTTGAATGTTCTCGTAACATGTATGATAAATAGATTTGTTTTTAATATATTTTATTTAGTAATAAACTAGATATATGCCCGTGCGTAACGAATTTGTATCTATGTGTACAACAATGCACGTGTCTTATGGTTTAAACGAACATATTAACAAATTTTTGTCCATGTCTATGACGATGCATATGGCTTGTTGTTTCGACGAACATACTAAGAAATATACAAATTTGATTACATAAAGCATATTTTTTATCTTTATGACCTATATCCGGTAGATTTGGTTTATAGAAACCTAATTTTGTTTTTAAATTATTATTTGTGTGTTTTATTATTTTATATTTCCAAAAATTAATAAAAATCAAATTAATACTTGTGCATTTGGACCCTAAACTATTTCTAAATTCTCTAGGTTTTTCTTCTTCTATGTGGACGTGGTAGACTAATGTGCCACGTTGTTACCTGCGGGCATCAAGCGAATCACCATGCAACGGACTCGTATGTTACGTGCGACCAGGACTCCATTCGTTCTTCAAATAGCACATCGTTCCTTCGTTCCTGTTCTCGCAGGAGGGCGAGCGGGGTGTAGACTCGCGGCCACACACGCATGAGGCGAGCGGGGCGCAGACGTGAGAGCACACGCGCATGGGCATGCGCTGACGGGCGAGCGTTTGTAGGTGTTCGCCGCCACTGGCACAGGCTGGTGCTAGGGCGCGCACACGCGGGCGAAGCGGAGCACACGACGAGCATGTCGTAGAGCGCGGCGGGTGTCGTGGCCGCCGCCAGCAAATACTGGCATCGCGTCGCCCGCATCCATGGTGAGACGCTTGATAGCGCGTGCGCCGGGACTACGCATGGCAACAGGTCACAGTTGCCCGCTGCCGCCGGTGCAGGCTGGAGCTAGGGAGCGCGTGGGGGCGTGATTTTGTTTGCATGGAGGTGGGGCTCATTGCGGACCCACGTGGGCGGGGCGACACGGGAGCTTGCGGGGTTCATGTACCGGACTCGCCATTAAACTGGGGCGGAGCGAATAATACTTGGCATCTGGGCGATACAGACTCTCGGACAGTGACCCAATCGGGCAGGTTGACACGGGAGGCACAAATTAAGCTGGGCGAAGCGAATTATCTTGGCGTCCGACGATGACATTAGGATATTTTAGGTCCTTTTTTGCCGTATAAGAGCATCTCTAAGAGTACATAATATTTTCTTCCTAAAACATAGAGTTTATAACTCCTAAAAAAGTATTGGAAGGATAAAGAAGGCAAGAGTTTCTAATAAGCAACTCCTAAAATATGGAAGGCAATTTTACATCATAAATCCTATACTATTTTTAAATTATCCTGACCACTTTTATATATTCTTGCTCTCTTGTACATTTACATCAGGAACCCTTTACTACTCTTTATTCTTTCCAAGCCCTTATACCTTGAGATTGGCCGACAAACACGGTGGGAGGGACGCAGACTACGTGTTTTTTCTCATATAGTATTGGAAACGGAGACGGTGGTTTTTTACGGTTTTTTTGCCGTATATATTTCGGAAACGTACGTTTTTTTGCCGTTTTTGCCTTAAGTTTTTTTACCGTATATAAGGGCGGGGCTGGGAGGGGGCGCAAACGATACTATTCGGTATTTTTTATGTGTTACTCCCTCCATACTAAAAAA